TGACTTAGATCTGCAAGATCAGACAGATCCAACATGGCAAAGCAAGTGCCGCCATTCAGCAGGGTAAAAAGGTCAGCGGGGACCGGCAATGGATAGCAGTTTGGCGTCAGAGCGGCGTTGAGACCGATGGAAAAATCGGCGCATATACGAATCGAACCATTCGGCTTTTTGACCACAACAATGGAAGCAGCCCAGGCGGAGTAGGACACAGGTGTCAGGACTCCAAGTTCCTCCAGGCGCTTTATTTCAGCATCGACAAGAGGCAGAGCTGCACATGAAACTGATCTCCTTGGGCGGGAGACAACCTCACCTCAAGGACAGAGGTGGAGCACAGTTAGCGTGTATGGGCAACGATCAAGGCCGTCTTGGAAGACTAGAGCAAACCGATGGAGAATTTCTTTGGCGGGGATGCAGGCACAGCAGGAATCTGCACCTGAATCCAACCAAGGCGGAGTGGTAAATCGACCAAGCCAACATGTTCAATCGTGTCGAGACCAAGGAAGTTGAGATTAAATGTTAGTGTAGCGGAAGGAAGCACAACATTGCATTTGCCCCATTAACTGGACAAGGCCACCGCACGCACTCGTGGCGGACTGAGAAGTCTGCTGCAATGTAGGGGCGCCAAGTGACTGCCAGAATTTCTTAGCGATTATGGTGACATCGGAAGCAGTGTTTAGTTGTAAGCGGACTGCGTGAGCGTTGAGAGATAAACTAACGTACTTCCAGTGGTCAGCTGCGTTAATCTGGGATGTTAGCAAGACACTGAGAAAATTGCGGAGGGTGTGAGCTTTTGACCTACTTTTTGGATTGAGGCGGCGCTTTTTGTTAAAGTTGGCGGGGTCGGGCTTGCCTACACAATTTGGAGATTGGCCGAACCCATCACAGTGCCCCACCTGGTTACATTTCTTGCAGCGATGTTGCCGAAATGGGCAATGCCGATATAAATGCGGGACACTGCCGACAAGAAGAGGGCGGGAATTCGCTTTGGGGGCTTACTTGCGTAACATAAAAGGAGGTGGATTAGCTTCTGCGACCGCATTCACTGACCCAGTGTTAGAGGCGCCTTGGACCATAGCCGAATCATGCTGGAGATTTATAAATGCGTGACATTAGGCAGGCAGTTCTTGGAGGCTAACTGAGTTGCTCTGGCGCGCGCTTCGAAATCGACCTCCATTTCCGACCTCCAAGGGAGTTAAAATTTCTTCGAGATCAGGGCTGTTAAAAGATTCTACAGTTTGTCAGGACTAGGAATTAACCTTGACCGACAAATACCATACCCTTCAGAAATCTACAACCGGACTGGGCTGACTCCTGCAAAATCTTGGCATCCTCGAACTTTATCCTTCGCCGTTCTACCGCTTCTACGCCCAGGAAGCCTATTCCATCGTCGAACAATACAGCTAGAACTACTACAAAGGCTGAGTCGTTCTTGGTAACATAGATATTCGTTGTACTATCGTGTCAAAGCTATCGTCTAAATTAGGGTTTTGGGGAATTTTCTCAAGTATCATTCCACTTCAATCGGTTCTAGTGCAGACTTTTATCTAAATGCCTTCACATAAAGTCAATAAAGGCGCGGGAATTGTAAGCTTGTGCGATCCAGCACTGCAAGGGGGGAAAATGTTCGCCAGTGCCCGTATCCGAACTCCAGACTTCGTCACAACAAGTAAAAAAATGTCAGCCCACAACCAGGATTCGAACCCCGGACCCCTAACGTAGAAGTCGAGCACCTACCCGATTGTGCTACCGAAGCACACAGTGACAGTTATCAAGTTTCATTACCAACTACAGAAGAGCGGGCTAGAAGTCTTTTGAAAAGTCCTCCTGCCAAACGGACTAAAAGTCTTAAAAGTTAAGGGATGCAACTTATAAAGATGAGGCTTGTATATCATATTTTATCCTTCTTAACAAATTTACGAACCTCGAGAAGGTGGTAAACAGTCTAAGAGTGGAGATAGAGAAGTTGAAGAAATTTCCTTGATGTCTCACTCAAGAGGAGAAATTGGCGATGCCTGAACTTGAGGGAGGTAACCCAAAGTACGGAGAAGTTGCATCCCTCGCTGAAGCGCTTCGCAGAAAAATGATCAGGCAG